GTGCTGGTAGGCAAAGCCGTGCTGGAGGGACTGTCCCGTCCTTCATTCCCCAGGCTGGCTATGGGGTGCCGCCCCTCCTGACCACCCGCAGCCCGTGTGTGGGGCTGGGACCCGGGCAGTGCCCGGGGGCCGCTGGGCCGTGTCCCCGGCCCGGCCGCGCCGCGCTGCTGTGACCCGCTGGTGGCGCCAGCGGCCCGCGCTGGGCGACGGCCGGAGGAGGAGCCGAGGGATTCCCGTTCCTTGGGAATTTCCCCGAGCGCCTGGGGGCCGCCGTGGCAGCGCTGATCCCTCGGTGCTCCCCCGGTACGGGTGAGAAGCCCTGCAAATGCTCGTGGGAAGGGTGCACCTCGGAGTTCCGCAAGCACGGGGACATCAAACCCTTGCGCTGCTCGGACTGCAGGTTCTTGTGCTGGCAGGGACTGCTGGCACAGGCTGGGTTGGCAGTCCCCAGGCCTCGGGAGGGGCTGCAGAGGTTTGGGGGTCACGCAGGGTCCTGTGCCAAATGCCCGTGACAAAGGGACAGCGTGTGTGGGCATCACCCTGTTGGCTGCGGAAGATGCCGGGGCCCTGCCACACAGGAGCAGGTGCCAACCCCACCCCAGGGGCTGGACCCGCCATCCTGGGGTCCAGGCTACGCTCCCTCCCAGCCCCCTCTCCTGGGTTAGGCCCTGAGGGCTTTTAATTGCTCTGAGCACCCCCACTTGAGATCCCCACCCACATCCTTGGGCCCATTTAAGCTCAGCCTGGGGCCTCCAGCTGCCCCCTGTGCTGTCCTGGAGCTGTCTCATCCCTTTCCACAGCCACGGGCCCCCGTGGCTCTCACCTTGGCCTGCCCCATCGCTGTGACCTGGGACTGTCCTGCAGCACGTGCCAGGGGCAAGGTGAACCCCAGGGAGGGCTGTGCCACCCCCATTCTGGGCGCAGGTGGTCCCTGAACTTCAGCAAAGGCCCTCTGGCAGTGGCTGCCAGACCCTGTGGCATGAGGGGCACATCCAGCTCCACTTCCCCTGGGAATTCTCCAGTGCCTGGGGTTGTGCTTGGTGGGAGCCCAGAAAACCCTCCTGGATGTTTTCCAGGCTTGGCAAAGGTCCAAGGCTGGGGTTTGGGGGGGAAAAAGGGAATACCACCCCTTTGCTCTAACCCTGAATTTTTGTCCTGGAAACTCACTTCAGCCTCAGGCCTTTATGCTTCCTCATCTCCCTCCTCCTCTCCCAGGAACGCCTGCAGGAGCTGCTCCATCTCCCTGCCTAACCCTAACCCCAGTGCTGCCCCACTGCCTGACTGGGGGTACTGGGGGCCTCCCCATCTCCTCTGGGCTCTTTCCCCATCCCCTGCCTGCACTTTTCCATGGCTGGCAGAAGAATTTAGCAATCCCAAAACTGCTTTCCTGTGAACGAGCAGTGACTGGGAGGGTTCTGCAGCCTGCTGGGGGGTCCTGCCGGCTGGTGGCCCCCCCCGTGTCCCGAGGGGACAGTGGGGTGACAGTGTCCTGGCTCTGGGATCCCCGCGGTCCCTGCGGACGGTTCCTTGTCCCTGTCCCTGTCGGGGGTGCCGGGGCCTCTCCGCCCGCCCGCCCGGCACTGCTCAGACTGGTTTAGCAAGTGGATGGGACGGGGCGGCCGCTTTTCCTTTGAAGGGCTCCCGGGAAGCATTTGATGGCTGGAAACCTCCGAGGAGGAGAAAGGAAAAGACAAAAATAGGTGGTTTTGGGTTTCGGTGGGGGAGCGGGGGAGGCGCGGGGCTGCTCCGGCAGCTTTGCAGACCTTTGTGTGCCGGGCCCGGGACAGGCGAGCGGGGCGGCCCCGGCCACAGGGAGCCCGAGCAGCTCCCGGCCCAACCCCGGGGCGGCCTCGGCCCAGGGAGGCAGAGCCAGACCGGCCTGGGGATGTCCGCCACGGCCCCGAGAGAGGTGGGTGCTCCGGGGTGGCTGGGGGGTTCGGGTGGCAGCAGGGAGGGAGGAGCTGCTGCAAGAGGGAAACAGGGCCAGGGACCCCCAGGCAGGGCCTGGCCCCTTCCCCAGCCCCCCCTCCTGGGTGGGACCTGAGTGGGGGTTTTGGGGTCCCTTGGGGTGAGGGTGGCTGCGGGGATGCTGGGGGCAGGCTGGGGCTGCCTCTGCCGGTGCCTGGGGTCACTTGGGGAGTGAGAGCTGAGGTTTGCTTCCCAGCCTGATCCAGATTTCCTCAAAATTCGGTGCCTTTCTTGCCTTTTACGTCAAGTCTCTGTAATTCGGGGCTTCACCTGCCTCCCGCTCCCTTGTGAGAGGAGGACCTGGCTGTCCTTCCTCACCATTCCCATGGACCCGGAGTGCCGGGACCCGGGATGAGGGGCTGGCTCCCCAGTTCTCCCCCAGCGACCCCCAGCAGCCCCAGCCCCCGGGTTGGGACCCCCTTTCAGCTCCGTGCGGCCCCTCCATCCCTCCCTGCACAGGAGCTCCCTTCCCAAACTCCCTCCAGCCTCTCGCTGTCGGCTTTTCAGAAGGGAATTCTGCGTGTGACGAGGGAGGAAAACGTGAGCGGTGTCGGGAGGGGAGCGCGTTGGTGGCCGGGTCACGGGGAGCCGCCCTTATCTCTGTGCCATCGCGGGTGGCACGTGGGGACACACCGGGACCGGTGGCAGAGAGGGACCCAAGGCCGTTCTCCCGGGGCAGATAAGGGCACTGCCTGCGTTTGGCCCATCCCTGCAAGGAGGGGCAGCTCTGCCTTGGGGAATCGTGGATTGCTCCCTGCTGGGCAGGAGCAGCCTGGAGCGAGCCCTGCTCTTGGGATTCACCCGGCTGCGCATGGGATGGAGAGAAAGGGAACACGTTTGGTTTTTATAATGGAATCATGGAATGGTTTAGGCTGAAAGGATCTTAATGCTCATCCCATTCCACTCCTGCCATGGCAGGAACACCTTCTCCTGTCCCAGGCTGCTGCAAGCCCCAATGTCCAGCCTGGCCTTGGGCACTGCCAGGATCCAGGGGCAGCCACAGCTGCTCTGGGCAACCTCACCACCCTCAATAGAAACTTCCCCTTTCCCGTGTGGTCCTGGTGGTCCTGCAGGGCTGGTGACACATCCTCCCATCCCTGGCATCCCCTTGGAGCGCTGGTGAGAGTTCCAGCAGCAGCACAGCTTCCCTGGAAAACAAAGCCCTGCAAGGCCTGAGCTGTTCCTGTGTTTGCTCTCCCAAGGGCTCACAAGCTCTGCTCTCTGGGATGCTCAGCCCCCCCAGCTGATGTTTTGGGTCCCTGGTGTGAGGTGGCAGCTGTGACACCAAATCTCTGCTGAGGCTCCTGCTCTGAGCAGTCACAGGTCCCATGTGAGGGCCCTGGAGTGGCAGGAATGCCATGGGAACAGGCATTCATTCCCCTGCCCTGGCAGCACTGCAGCTGCTTTCCCTTTGGCCAGGGGGGGAGAGCAGCCTCGGCTCCCCCACTTCCTTCCTCTGCTCCTGTGGTCCCCTGGAGCTGCTGGGATGTCCCCAGGGTGGTGACAGCAGCATCCCTGCCTGTGTGGGATCCTGCCTGGGACACACAGAGAAGTGGGGCATCTGGGGCTGATTTGGGATGGGTGAACACAACGAGGGGGAGGATCCAGGCTCTTCCTTGGGGAGGGGCTGGGGACAGTTGGGGCTGGATTATCTGGAGCAGAATGGTGCTTTTTCTTTTTTTTTTTTTTTTTTTTTTTTTTTTTCTTTGCCAGAAAGGTTATTTTTATTCCCTTGTATCTCTGGATCTTTACACTCTTTCCAGAAGTGAAACCCAAACACGGTTGCCTGGTGTCTCCATAGAATCCTGTGCCCTCCTACTTGTCTGTGCTTTTCCAACTGTTGCTTTTCTTTTCCTTCAGTGTTTGTCCCTTTTATTTTTGATCCTTCACCTTTTCTCCCTGGGAATGGGAAGTGTGAGCAAGTAGGAATTACCTCTCAAAATTAGTTTTGATGCAAAATTGGCCCATTTTCTTATTGAAAAGTACCCATGTCTGTAAAAAAAATAAATGTCCCCCTTGTTTCAGTGCAGGGGACTCAGTCTGGGAACAATGGCCCAGCTGGGGGGTGTTCCAGGCCTTGGGGTTGGGGACTGACCCCTCCATCCTGGTGGTCCTGGAGCTGACTGGGCCCCATGTGGGAGCACGGCTGGTGACAGATCTCCTGGCCCCCTGCTCAGGGTTGGGATTGGAGTTAAATCGTGAGGTTTCCTGAGCACTCTGTTGGAGCATGACTGGTGATGGATCTTGGGTTTGGGATTGGGAATCGAATCCTGGGGTGCTGGAATTTCCTGGGCTCTCTGTGGGAGCACAGCTGATGACAGAGTTTGGGGTTGGGATTGGGGATCAAATCCTGGGGTGTGGGATTGTCCTGAGCTCGATGTGGGAGCACAGCTGGTGACAGAGCTCCCGCTCACCTCCTTGGGATTGGGATTGAATCCCGGGGTGTGGAAGCTTCCTGAGCTCCCTGTCAGAGCATGGCTGGTGACAGAGCTGGGGTTGAGATTTGAGTCCTGGTGTGCTGGAGCTTCCCAAGCACGTTGTGGGGTCACGGCTGCTGACAGAGCTCCTGGCCACCTGCTCCGGCTTGGGATTGGGATTGAATCCCGGGATGTGGGATCTTCCCGAGCTCCCTGTCAAAGCACACCTGGTGACAGAGCTTGGGGTTGGGGTGCTGCAGCTCCCCGGGCTCCCAGCCGGAGCTCCTCTCGCCCTTTTATGTGCGGGTGTCCCGGCGGGGCCGGCGCCGGGAGCCTGATTGGCTCCGCATCACCGCGCCGCTTCCCGGTGGCGTTTCCTCCTCCCGCGGCCAGGTAGAGCCTTCCCGCGGCCAGGTGCAGCCTTCCGACCCGCCACCGGCCTCCCACCAGCGCAGCTCGCTCCGGCTCGCCTCAGGGTTTTTTTTTTTCCCTTCCCCTCCCTTGTTTCTCCCCTTTTCCCCCCTTTTTCCGTGTTTCCCGGGCCGGGCCCGTCCCCGTGCGGGGCGCGGGGGGATGAGCAGCGGGCTGGTGGACGCCGCGGTGTTGGCACCGCTCAAACCCGTCAGCATGTCCGGGGACCCCAGCGAGGACACCCCGGTCTTCGAGGACATCAAAGCCCCCTCGCGGCCCCTGGAGACCCCTCCCGACCTGGCGCAGGTAAGCGTTGGGAAGGGGCGGCTCCCGCCCGCTCAGGTGCCGGAGCCTCCCCAGAACCTCTGGATTTGGGCTGAATTCTGCTTTGTTTCTCCCGTCGTTGCTGCGACACCCCCGTGGCTCCGTCGGCTCCCGCTTCCCCCTCCGCTGGCTTTTCTCATGGGCGTGTTGGGTTTCGTTTGAGAATTTTGGTTTGGGTTTTTCGCCTCCCATCTGCCTTCAAAACTCCCCGGCGTCCGTGTGGGCTTTGCTCCCACTCCAGGGTTCAGTCTCTGTCCCCTGGGGTGGCAGGCCAGGGGGTGTCCAGGGGCTCTCCCACCGGGAAAGGTTTTGGGATCTGGATTGCCGTGCCTGCGTGTGCTGGATGGGACATGGGACCTCATTTTCCATTTTATTTTATTGTCTGTACTTTTCCACCACCACGGTGGAGAAGGAATGCTCCTTGAGATTCCCTGGCAGCATTCCCCCCAGATAAAGCCCGGGATAAGGCTTTGGGATGTTCCTGCAGGCCCACCCCTCTCCTGGGCCCTGCTGCCCACCCCATGTGGGGGGACCAGGCTCCGTGTCCCACCCCCAGAGCCTCCGGCCGCTCTTCCTGGTGGGAAGGAGGGTGAGGCAGGCCGGGCCCCACCCTGGAGCCGAGGTTTCCCCTTTTCCCGCTCCGTGGGGCGCGGGGTGCCCGGGGTAATGATTAACCCCAACCCCACGGCCCCAGCGCCATTTTGATCGGGGCGGGAGCGCTCCGGGCCCGGCTCCAGGGCCCTGCAGGGACCCCTGCCCGGCTGCTGCTCCTCCAGAGACCCCCAGGAGACCACCCAGCGGGGGTGGCACCAGCCAGGCTCGGGGCCATGTCCCCACTGCCCCTGCTCTGGTTCCCACGTCACCGGTGTGCCAAGGGCCATTTTGGGGCTGTGTCCCGCAGAGGGAGGTGAAGGCCGTGGCTCCATCCCTGGATTTCCTGGAGCTCCGGGATCCACAGGGGCTGTCAGTGGTGCTCGTGGGTGTGGGCTCCTCCCTCCCCGTGGCCTTCCTGCTCCTCCGTGGGGGTTCAGGGATCACCGGGATCAGAGCTGGGTGGTGGTTCTTGGAAAGCTGGGGATTGTCCCCAGGGCCTGTCCCGGGGGGAAAGCTGTCAGCTCCCTCCAAACCCCCCAAAACGGGCTGGGGAGGGTGAGCTTGGCTTCTTGCCTTTTTCCATCCGGGTAGGATGAGGCAGTGCAGCCACGGCTGGCCCTGAGCCACCTCCTGTCCCCCTCATGGGGACACCCATGGCTGGGGACACCCATGGCTGGGGACACTCATGGTTGGGGACACCTTCACCCCACCCCATCCCTGCTGTGCTTCCAGAGGAACAGCAGTTTCTCCTCCCAGTTTGATCCCACTTTGCTCTGGGGTGGTGGCAGCTGAGGGGTGGCCTTGGAGGTGTCACCCTTTGCCACTGACCCTCCTGTGTCCCCTTCTGGGCAGTGGGATCCTGGGACAGCGGCTGCTGTCCCGAGCAGGTCCCATGGATCCCATGGATCCCCAAACCCTCCCAGGGAGCAGGGCTGTGCTGGGACACCCCAAGAGCCCTGGGCTGGACCCCACAGCGCCCGGGCAGGAGTTTCCACAGCTTGGCCGCTTTCTCCCGGCACGTTCCAGAGGCTGTGGTGCTGTGGGAGCCCTGCCTGGAGGCTGGAGGAGCTGGAAGCTGCAGGGCTGGGAAGCCTTTGCTCCAGAGGGTTTTTATCAGCTTGACAAGGCTGGTGCCAAAGGCTGTGACCTGTCAGGCTCCAGCTCTGGGCAGTTCCCGCTGCTCTGGCTGCCCGAGCTTGGGAAGAGGCAGGAGCAAATCATTCCTGTGGTTTCAAAGTCCCACTGCCTTATATCCCTCTAAAATTGCTTTTCAGATGGGAGCTCTTTGCTGTTGAAAATTTTATTGAATCGGGCTCAGGTGGAAACAAATCCTTTGTGGAATTTCCAATGAAATTTTGCCTTTCTATGTCTTTTCCAAAAAAACCCAAACCAAAAACAAAACAAAAAGCCCAAAACAAAAAAACCGAAACAAACACCTGAGAAAAGAGGAGGGAAAAGGGCTTGTGAGAGAAAAGGACTTTCTTCCTGATTTGAGTCAGATCAGTCAGAAAAAGCATTTTCCTCTTTAAATCTCCAGTGGCTGATGCTGGAGGGAATAATAGTAATAATTTTATTATTAATAATAATCATCATCAAAAGTAAGGCAGTAAATAATAATAATAATAATAATAATAATAATAATAATAATAATAATAATAGTAAGGCAAAAGTAATGTCCATGGAACATTTCAGGAGAGGAGGAGCTGATCCCTTTGCATGGCTGTCCGGTTCCCTGGATGAGTGAGGGGCCTGGGGGATTTATCCTTGCTCCCACCTGGCTGCCACAGCATTCCTGGGCACCTGGAACTGGAGAAGCATCCCGGGATCACCCAGGACCTGGAGGGACAGGGCAGGAATTGGCTCCTCCAGGCTCCCCGGGGGCTGTGGGGAGGTGGCTCTGCCACCCCTGTCCTTGAGGGTTTGGGAAGGCAATCCCTGTGTCCGTGGCTCCAGCTGGGAATTCTGGTGTTGGAGGCTCCAGGGCTGTTGAGAGAGGGCAGGAGCTGCTGGGAAGAGACAGAAGGACAAACCCCAACCCTGTCCCTCGGTTTAACCCCTTCCTGCCTGTGCCAGGCCCCGGGGCAGTTGTGGTGGTGAGCTCCCAGTGGGGCTGAGGCTGTGTGGGAAACAAGGAAGATGGTGATGAGTGTGGAAAGGGATTTTCCTTGGCTGCAGGCTGAGGAACAGCAGCAAAGAGCTCCCTTTGTGTCCCCTGATCCCAGTTCCTGCCCCACAGGCACTTCCCCACTCTGTCCTTGGCTCCCTCTGGGCTGGGGGTCCTCAGGAGGAATAAAACATCTCCAGCATCTGGGGGGTGCTTGGACACATCCGATGGGATCAGGAAAGTGCTGTTCCCAGAGCTTTTCCTGGCACTTCACCTCCTCAGTGCTGGGAATGGCACTGCCAGACCCTTCCAGCAGTGTGGATGAACTGTGGAACAGGGTGCAAGTTCTGTGGTGCTCCTTTGACTTTATCTTGGCAGGGATTTTGCTCCTGGATCACAGGAGAAGCTGGACCCAGCATTTTTAGGAATGCTCCAGCTTTCAGGAGGTGTTTCAATCTTGCCCTGTCCCTGTGCCATGTTCTGCACCTCCTTTGGTGCATCCTTGTCATGAATGTGGCTGTGGTGGCTTGAGGGTGGCTGTCCCTTGGAGCAGGGATGGCTTTTCCTGCTTCTTGGTGCTCCAGTGCCTTGGAACCAGGGTGATGGGTCCTGTTCAGGGCCAGGAGAGTCCTGCCTTCTATAAATAAAACTCCTTTACTTTTTAGGAGAGATGTTGGAGTGCTCAGCACAGCTCCCAGGGGATGATTCATTTCCTTGGAATCTCAGGAGCTGCAGGCAGGGAATAAATTTGGCTTTTCTGAAGGAAAGGGGAGATGGCCGCTTTGGAATTTTGCTCTGGACCTGGAATGAGATGCCTGGGGAGAACTTCCTCCCTTGGGGATCCTCCTGGCTTTGGAGGAGGGTTTAGAAATTCCACGGAAGTGTGCAAAATCCATTTCCAGAGGTGCTGGCAGCCTGGGCAGGCTCCCGGGAGTGCAGGAATGGGGTGGGAGAGATGGGAAGTTAAATGGTGCCAAGGAGGAACGGGAACACCTGATCCCTCTGACACGAGGATGGGTTTGGGAGCTGCTGGAGCCTTGTGTGAGGGATCTCCAGAGGGAGGGATCCTTCCCTCTGTTTTGCTTTGGGATCAGCTGATCCCAGTGTTTTGGGACCAGCCCACAGATTTGCAAGTCTGATGAGCTTTGTGCCTGGCAGGTGTCTGCAGGGCCACAGGGAACTGGGGCAGATTCCCAGAAAGGATCTGTTTATCCCTCTAATTTTGCCAGAGGACCCTCAGGAGAATCCCCAGCCCAGGGGTGTGCCAGGGCTTGGTCCCACGGCAGAGCAGCTCCAGAGCCTGCAGGAAGCTCTGGGTAAAACCAGTGAGCCCAAACCCGGCACACGCGGGGGCTTCATCCACAATAATCGTTATTTTATTTTTCTGGAGGCCCCAAACCCCGCCGAGCTCCCCGGGCGGGTGCAGGATGGAAGGAGCAGCAGGATGGAAGGAGCAGCTCCATGGAGCAGCTCAGCCGAACTTTGAGCCGCGGAGCTCTGGCCCGGTGGGACAAAGGCTGATTGTTCTGCGAGGGAAGGAGGGAGCGAGGGAAGGGGATGGGGATTCCAGGTGTGCCGTGCTCGTCCTCCTCCCTGCGACCCGCCGTCCGTTTGGATTAGCTGGAAAAGCGCTTGCTGGTTGGTGTTTTTTCCTTTTTGGAAAGCTGGAAAAGGAGGGAACGAGCGGGGCGCTCCGGGTTTCCCTCTGCTCCTCCGGAGCGCTGTGTGGGAGGCAAACGCCGTCACCTGAACTCGCTGCCCGGGCTTTGGGGAATGCATTTCTGGCCCGTGCATCACCGCCCGGGAGCTTTCCCCCTCTCAAACCTGTTCGGTCACCTCCCGGCGCTGTTTTGTTCTCCTTCCCTGCTCCAGTGAGTTCTTTTATCCAACCCATCCACTGCAAATAATCGCACTTACGAGCGTCTTGTGAGCTCGATTACAGTGTTTGCTTTCCTCGTGCTCCATTGGCGAATTCCCGCAGTCACAGGGTCCGGCCGGGCTCTGGGGATTGGAGAACTCGTGTTTACAATTCAGATGTTCTCAGAACTTGAGCTAGCATGAAAACCCTCTAAAAAAACCCCCATGGGCTGTTTACCACATCAAAGAGCTTCAGCCCCGTTCAAGCTCGGCTTGAAACTCAAACAAAGAATCTTTCATTGAGTTCAGAAATGCTGCGAGAATTCTTGGAAAATTATTGTTTTCTCAGCGTGATGGGGAGGGGCCTTCAAGTTCCCACCCAGAGCAGGATTTTCAAGTATTAAAATGCATTTCAGAACCTTGCTCT